ATGCAAGCGCGTAAATGAGGAAAAAAGAGTTTCGAGAGACTGTGTGAATATATGATCATGATATTAGCTCCAAGGTCCTAATTAATACGGCTTAATCCATTCATTGTATCGTATTTCGGCCCGAATACCCTATTGGTTGGGTCTTTGGCGATTCATATATATATACACGACATGTTTATTTCTTGTTCAAAATATAAGTTATGTTGAGATAATTTGGATTTACATAAAGTTCATAAAAGAACATATATTCCTATAACTCTAGATATTCGAAAGTCCTCGTTTTTTGAGTACCTGACCTTGAGGCCTCATTTTATAGGGTCTTTGGAAAAGTGGCCCCATATGAGGTCTTTGGAAGATTAGGGTAAAGAATTATATCGTATATATTGGAATAAAGATTATTAAATCGAGGATTGATGATTTTCAAATATTCCGAAGATAGATTAATTCTTATAATGATTATATTAATTATGATAAAGGGAATGAATCTATTTTTGGAGAGGATAAGATTCACGAATCATGAATGATTTCATTTGCAGCCTAGAGATTTCGTGATTTGATATTAATTTTGCAATATTTATCTAGATTATTTTCATGATATGATGAAATAATTGATTATTTTGATTTGAAGATGATAAAATATTGAGCTATGATATTATATCTAAATTTCGATAATATAGAATTGATTATAGGTATATTCTACGAATTTTCAATTATTTGATGAAAAAAATGATAAATAAGAAAATCGATTGATAAATGGAGAAATAGATTTCAGAGATTAATAAATTCATATGAAAGAAAGATTATCAAATTGGATAGAAAAAATAGAGATCTCTAGCAAATTTGATAAATCAATTAATATATTCTAATATCGATTCATGAATTTTTTTCAGATGAATTAATCAAGATAAAAAAAATGAAATATTTTTTTAAAAAAAAAAAATCAAATCGATTTTATCTAATCATAGATATTTAAAAATTGCAAGAGAGAAAAGAACCTGATTTAATCTTTCGTCCTAATTATCGTGCCCTAAAAATCTCCAAAAATTCTCCCAAAATATCATATCTTTTAAATATATTTTTATCTATTCCGAAAAAAAATTAAGATATGAGAGATTTTAATTTTCCAAGAAAATCTTCAAGATTCATTCGAATATCGTAAGAGCTACGTAATTATAATGATTCCTATCATCTTTTTCATAAATAATGAATTAAAAAAATTCTCAAAAATTCTCTTAATTTTCTGAAAAATAATTTCCTCATGATATAGAAAAATATAATTTTCTTCAAAAAATTATATAATCATAAATTCTCATAATATCCTTCATCTTTCTATTCAATAGAATATAGAATAAAGAAAAATCTGAATAAATAAAGAAGCGGAAAATCCCATATAGAAAATGAAATAAGAATCTATATAAAATAAGATTATTTTCGTCCGCTGAAATAAGAAGAAATATTCAAAGAGAAGGGAAGAAGAATAAATGATCATTCCGAATCATGCGAGGATCCGACAATACGAATACGAAGAGAATAAAAAATCATTATATGATATATGATCATCATCTCGTTCTCGACGTGGTCATTCGTCTATTAAAATTGAAATTCAGATAGCATGCGAATCTCCTCGAGGGATCTAGCATCAATATCAAATGATCCGACCCCATATGGAGCTCAGATTTTATATCAAATATTCCGATCATTCGAAGGATCTATGATTAGCATCAAATATTCTGATTTCTCGAGGAGTCTAATTCCAATATCAAATATTCTGAGCTTTCGAGAAGTCTACGATCGATATCAAATATTCTGATCTCTCGAGGAATCCAGGACCAATATTCTGATCCCTCGGAGGTCCAGATTATATATCAAATATTTTGGTTTTTCGAGGGACCCAAGCTTAATATAAAATATTGTGATCCCTCCAAGATCAAGATTCAATATAATATATTTTGATCTTTCGAGGAATCTAGACCTAATATGAAATATATTCCGCCCTCCAGAGACCAAAATTCAATATGAAATATTTTGATCACTTGAAGGATCCAAATTTAATATGAAATATTTAGATAGATCCCTCCAGGAGTCAAAATTCAATATGAAATATTTTGATCTTTCTAGGAAATCAAATTAAATATCAAATATTTTGATCTATCGAAGAAACCAGATTTATCATCAAATATTTTGATCCCTTGAGGGATCCAGATTAAACGTAGAATATCTTGATCTTTCGAGGAACCCAGGCTAATCATAGAATATATTATCTCCTCGAGGAATCCAGATTTGATATCAAATAATTTAGTCTATCAATGATCCAATCTGAGCATCAAGATATTTTGATCCCTCGAAAGATCTACGTTTAATATGAAATATATTGACCTCTCGAGAGAAGCAAATTTAATATGAAATAATTGGATCTCTTGAAAGACCTGGATTTAATATGAAATAT